AATTCTCGGTGCACGAAAAGCGCGCTCGAGTGTCAGTCTCCGGTGGCACTTCTCTCCGTTTAATGAAAGGAGCCCAAACTCTCGCGCTCCGGAGCACGGACTTAACGCGCCCACTGTTTGCACGCACACGATATATATATTTTTTTTTTTGCATTTTTTAAGATTGAGTGTTATGCGCAACAAAATCTACCACTTGAATCGGGGTCCCTAATGAGGACTTTCCAACCCACTAGCCTTTTGATGACTCCCGTTTCAATAAAAAAAACTGGCTATCGCATGCTTGTACGGAAAGGCGTTCTAAGAAACGACGTTCCTGGAACGCGGTTTTTTTTTTTTAGGAGGAACGCCACCGTTCCATCTTTCATCGGTGCAACTGGAGCGGAGAATCGTTACTTTTCCGAGAGAACGGCAGGAGGAACGGGATTCCCTTTTTTTTTTTCTCTCTCTCTTTATATATACAGTATTACGCGAATTTAGTAGGCATTTAGGCTTTCTTTATTATCGATTATTTCAACTTACGACTTCCAAGGGACGTGAAACTGTCCGAGAAATTGTTGAAAAAAAAACTGGTAGAGATGGGATCGTGGCGTCACGTCATGTAGTTCGATGTGGATATTTTCACTCGCTCGCTCGATTTTCTCTAGGGATTATCCTGCAGAATATTTAACAAAGATAGGAGAACCGAACATAAAGGGTAACGACAATTTTATAGTCTTTGAATAGCAACGGAAACGCGTTCCTTTCGAACCCACCAGAGATATGTAACGGGAATTCGTTTTAAGATGGAGAAGAAGTTTGTGCTTTGGAAGTACGTGTACAACACTGGTCTGTACAAACAGCGTAGCGCTATGGACATGCTAGAACTTTAGTAAAATAGCAATATATGACAGTGTCAGATTTGTACGATACTCGTTTCAAGTGTTCAAATTACTTGTGAGCTATAGCTTTTTCTAGTAATTTTGTAGTCATTCGATTGCTTTTATTGGTTAGGAATCGCAAGAGTAATCCCGTTACTTTTGGAACTACTAAAATTACTTGTAACAGTTGCTTTTTTTTTCCATTCCGTTTCTAACTGTCGTACAAATGTTCTACCGAAAAATTTTCGAATCAAATCACCGGCACGAGGCTGGTTTACCACAATTGGTGAATTAAGAAAATGAGTAGTTTATAATTCGGTGGTCTTAAGCCGATGATGGATTGAACGAGAAACCCATTTTTTAAACCGGCACAAAACTTGGTAATTTAAAAATCTGAAGTTATCGGAGAAGGAACGGTTACATTTTTAGCAACTGCCAACTAATCTTCGTCTAGAATATTCAAATGATCTAATTGTGTACTTCTTAAGCGCGAGTAATTGTGATTGCAATCAATTTCTTTGTTATTCGTAACGAGTACAAAACCGGTACACTTTCTTTTTTATTGGCCTTGACCATCTAATCTGTCCTCCATACAGTCCTCACCTGTTCGATTAAGCTGCTACGTTATCTCGTTTGCACCGTAAACCAATGCTCACCAAAATGTCGAAGGTTACGAGTGTGTTCACATCGAGAAAACATGTAGGCAGAGTAATAAGCCGGAAAAACTCGACACTTTCGGTCATGGTTTTTTTTTCCCCCGCTTACTAATTACTCCCTTTTACAGAGATTCATTTCTTGAGTATTAACACGCGGCCACAAATACGTGCAATCACATCCGCGTTCACCAACTAAAGACCAAAAGTTGGCAAAAATAACTCATACTGAGAAACATCAATGTAAAAATTCACGTTCGCTACATGACCTTCTATAATGGTTCACCTATAAACTGTTTTTTATGCACGTTGTCAGACATCTGTAAAGTGTAAACTAACATCAATTATTCTGAAAGTTGAATTTGCCATGTTTGCCCCACCTTTACGTGCACATGGGTACGGATTAAAATAGACCGCTGGCACTGCTTTGACGTCTCACCGCTGTGGGGGCGCTACTGTCGGCACGCGCGCCCCATACCCAGGATTCGAGGACACGAGCGCGCCGACACTACTTGCGCCATCTATCGGCAGCGGTGGCGGGACGGCCCGTAACTCAATGGGACGAACTATATATTTTTTTATTTCACAAAATTCTAAGCGTTGCATTATTTTGCTCTCAGCGACCTTTTTTGATAGATACCCTTTTTGTTCATTGTGCTAAATTTAAGGACTGTATGTCTATGATAAATAGAGCCAACTGGCAACCGGAAAAAAATGCATTATCCTTATGGGAGTACTGTGATTTACAGAGAGATATTTGAGTTCAAACTTGATTTACAAACTAACCACTCCGTATCGCGAGTTGCTCTCTACGGTTATATAAGCTCCAGTTCCCCAGCTACATCATGGTACTATTTTCTTTGAGATATGTTAATTCTACGAAGTGCCCTCGTCATTAAAAGAACAAAAAGCAGGGCTCTCCAAATGAATTAAGGGCCGCTTAGAGCAGTAAAAAGCAGTTTCTCGCGCATAATGACAAATTCAATAAACTAATCTTACCATATATAGTACATGATAAATGTGCATCATTCATTCCTAGCACATATTTACCAAAACCCCGGGGTTTGAACCTGGAGTTCCTGAATAAAAAAAATATAAATGAAATTTGAATTAGTTTTACGGTGGGGCAAGAACGTTTCTCCGGAAGGTAAAAGCATTTTTCTGTAAGGAAGATACGATATTACATCTAATTTCTCAAATCAAGGTAACAAATATATATATATCAAGCAGCACTAACGCCACGCACACGAAAAGAAAAATTATTACGCGGACTTCAAGCACGCAGTTATAATAATGATGTGATTTTAAGTGCACGTGAGAATACATTTTTGACTTGCCGTTCTTGAACGAGTTATTTAAATATGACCTTAATATAATTAATTAAAATTCATCTTGATCCTTTGGGCATACTCAAGACAGAAATTGAGCAGCGTGTTATGAGCTGCGCTGGGTATTTGAGATTTTTTAAACCTTTTCGTACGCACAATATGTCCGATGATCACGTGGTTGGGGCACGTGATGTCTCAGTGTCGCGTCATAACGTCACGTCACGTGACACATTGTAGAGTTATGTCATAGTATCTTGACATCGTGATTTTTAGTTCACGCCTTGGTGTCAAGTCATGTGCATTGTGTAGTATTGCGTGACGTTGTCACATGGTTAGTATCACGGGACGACGTTATGCTGATGAAGTAACTGGGCCACACCTCGCTTGTAATGTCACGTGACGATCGTGCGCTAAATTTGGCGGGTGATTTAGCATTTCTGCAATGCATTCTGTAACTTTTAACTTAGCGGGACCTAATTAGCTATATTTTGTGGGTGTTTGACGGTTTTTAGAGGTGGTTCTCGTGACAACTTGTCACGCTTTCTGAGCACAGCGGGATTACACGTATGACATTGACCGCCTAAACGCGAAATCGCGCGAGCCGCGGGAGGTGTTGCCTTTGAATATGTTATCGGCGAAAACGCTCCGAGCTCGTGACACGCGCAAGATGGTCGCTTTGCATGTCAGCTTCTAGCCAGTAGTGGCAATACAGATCTGTATTGTGTACTCCGTTCACCCCTAAAGGGGTATTCACACGAGGGAGAAATCCCGGGGATTTCTCCCCGGCACGCGCATACCAGGACGAAAACGTCAGGCTTTGCGATGTGCAAAAGCCTCGCGTTTTCATCTCGTGATGCGCGCGTGCCGGGGAGAAATCCCCGGGATTTCTCCCTCGTGTGAATACCCCTTAAGCTGAGACTAGAATCTCCGCCTTCAGCACGAGCTCGCTCGCTTCCACAGAGCTTTAGTTGCGCGTTGCGCGTTCACACTTGTGTTAGCAAGGGCAGTAAGCTCGCGCGGAAGGTGGAGCTTCTAGTCTCAGCTTAAACGGCGTATAGTAGGCTGGAATGCGGATCAGGGGAACGTCGGTGGCGCCACAGGGGGACATTGATTGACCCCAGGTGATACACACAAGTCTAAGGGAGAAACACAAAGGAGATGAATATTGAAGCTTGTACGCGGTGCTCGAAGGCAAGTATTTTATGATGTGCTGCGATAATTATATAAGGTGTTTGGAGATTGAATCGGTAAAATTTAAGTATTCGAACGTAGATTAAAAAAAAAAAGCGCCAGAGCACCACCGATTGTGCCGGCGTCGCTTGCTTCAGTTGCTAAATAAATGACACGTTCAGCAAATGAACGGCACGCTCCGAGCTTTAAATCGTCAAAGAAGCCCTCACTGAAGTTTAAAGCAAAGGCTCGCCCCAGCAATAGTCTGTGCAAGCTCCCGAAACGATGCAAATGTCCTCAGCAAAGGCCAACTTACCGCTTGCTAGCCTCTGACGACGTCCAGATCATGAACGGCTCCACACTGTCTGTCGGCAACTCTTGTCTTATTGAACCGCATCACAGTTTACACCCAACAATTAAGCCGCAACCCTCGACCCTAAACCACAAATCAGTTATTAAAATATATTAGTATTGTATCGCTTTTGATAATTGCGACGAAAATATTAACTTTCATTCCCACATAACATAAAAGTCTCATCGTCGAGAACAGCTTACTAAGGTAAGAAGTAGCAGTTTTCCCCGTTTTTCCCGTAAAGTTCCATGCATTCCCTTGTGTGAAGCAATAGGTGACGGTGGTGCCGCTCGACCCCAGCAGTAAATAACGGTCAAAAAGGGGGCGTGGTCCGCAAATATTGGGAAAAGGTACCGCTTTGAGGAACCTAGGGTCCTACCCTGAGTGCACTCCAACCCCCCACATATGATAGCAGGCTTCGTCTAATTTTAGAATCCCGGAGAGCATTTTCACAATAGCTTTATTTCTCGAGTTACTTTAATCGGAGCATGGTCTCTCACATACGGTTTATCTAACGCGAATCTCGTTTCAGCGCACGCGCAGAACGCACACTTGGCGTGGGCGACGAAGACTCGTTTATAAACAGCAAGTTTGCCTTATAAGTCCGACTATTAGAAGAAGGGGGGAAAAAAAGAAGCACCTGTCCCGGATAGAGCAAGTCCTGGTAGCAAGGGTCCTTTGTGTACGTCATGAGGAACATGTTGATGAACATGATGAGCAGGCTGCGAGAACACCCGGCGCCCTCGCCGTTGGGAGCGCCATCTGGGAGTGTCCACTTGAACACAATGAGCACCACCAGGTAGCCGAAGAGGGCAGTCAAGAAGATCACCTCAGGAACGAATTCTGTCCAGATGTTCATATAGGTGCGCAGGAAACTGGGACATGCCATAGAACAGGAGCTCAGCCGGTGAACGTAATCCGACCTTCGTAATACTTCTAAGTTTTAGTACATCAAGTAAACTTAAATTAAATGGTCACTGAATATGCTAGATTCGTTCATAGTACATAGCACAGGAAGAAACATGTGTTTATTGCCTAATGAAGTTGTTTGGTAAGTCGGATAGGATAACGAGGATCATCAGAAAACCATCGTATAGTGGTCTCGAGGAAATTAATTTATTTTATTTTCATTTGTTATAATTGTTTTCTTTCAGCATTTATATTGAAATTGTTTTATTACCAACAATTCTAGACACTTAATCAAAGTCTGAATGCTAAATTAGCATCACGCTGAGTCAAGCCATTTATGCAATATTCAGTTATAATTTTGGGTGGTATTACTTATTTGGTAATATTTATTTTAGTATTATATAATTCCGATGATTCCTGAGACCTTGGCTTTCTTTAAATCTGCGCCACTCAAGCGGAATTTTAAATTTCTTTTGTCGAGAGTTGTGTGTAGTATAAAATTAAAGGTGTATATATACCATATAAATTAACTGAAAGGAAAACCGCAAAAAAAGCCCGCATTGAACTCAAATAAAACGACATACAACATATCAACTCACCGCTCCATATTAGACTTTGCTGGTCCTAAGGGCGTTTGGTCTTTGAAGTACCTGGTTAGGACCAAAATGCATTGATATTATACCGAAATAATAAAATGTTGTTTGAACATTTAACCTTATAATAGCGACTTACAGGTGGTTCCAAATGTTAAGGACAACGCCGAACAACATCTGCATCACGCCAAGAATGATGGCCATCTTCATCTTGTAGGAGTTGGTGAACGGAATTTTGTTTTGGGCCATCATCCACACCTGAAATATGGGACACACATGTTTGCCTCTCGGTTATTTTTATACACTGAGCTCCAAATACGTATAAATTTCAAAATTGGGTCTATACCGAATCCTGCTCCCGCCATTGGACGCCCCTCATGAGTTGTATAACTTCATATAATATACTTCTAATGTCACCAAAGTTGCTGTTGTGCGAGTGATCAACTTAGTGGTCGTCATAAAAATAGCTCAAAAATCACATAAAAATTTTGACTTCCAGACACTCAGTGCATTCGGATTATCTCGGCAGTTTTAGTAATGGTTCTGGTGTCCAACAAAGCAGAGAGGCTGAATATTATATTACAATAATCCTTCCAGTAGAGAAAAAGAATATAGTAATTTACAACCACGCATTTTATATATATATATATATTAAACTGTTGGGGGGTTTAAAATGATACCACCAAAGAAACAAGGTCAAACTGCAACGGACAGTGACTTTAATCTGAAACCGGCACCATGACAGAACAGCACACGACATAACAGCACGCGACAAAACAGCACGGTCAAAACAGCACGCGTCAAAACAGCACAGCGTCAAAACAGCATGGCGACAAAACAGCACGCGTCAAAATAGCACGCGACAAAACAGCACAGCGTCAAAACGGCACAGCGACAGAAGAGCACGTGCCAAAACAGCACGGCGTCAAAACAGCACAGCGTCAGAACAGCCCAGCGAAAAAACAGTGCAGCGTCAAATATTGACATTGACAATATAGCTAGGGTTCGGTGTTTTCGGTTTGTATTATTTGAAATTCCGCGCACTTTTTTCGGTTTTTATTCCAAACAAAATTTTTCGGTTTATATCGGTGAATATTTGTAGGCTCATAAACGTCTCAGTTATATTAGGTTTATTGAAAACCAGTATACTAACGAAAATGCAATAATTAAAAGCGTTTGTGTAAAATGTATATTGAGTACCAAGTACTGATCTTCTTATTTGTTGCCGTCTTTGGCAGCCTACGCGACCTGTTCTGTAAATTGCACTGGGGCCTTATCCTATCTGACATTATCGTCGTGTGCTCGCATTTGTACACAGGACGAGCATGAGCTTCAGTACCACTTCGGTAGGAGAGGCAAATATCAAAATGGAGAAATTAGCAAGCATCGTACTCGGTGCGTTTTCCCCCATTTTCACGACTGCGAGAGGTGATAAATTCGCGCCGACGGCAGAAATGACAATAAAACACTCGTATTTATGCCCTGCTCTAATAGACGGAGGCTAGGGGTGTAAAACAATGCGCGGCATTTACGGACGCTCTTAATTTCCGTTGTTTGATTTCACGATTAAACTCTCTTCTTTTAACAAAGAATCCGGCACAAATCTCTATCAGTTGAAAAAACCCAGATTTCGTCCTGAGGACCCCTGCGCCCCCGAAGCTTATGTTGAAAGTTGAACCGATCTCGCAGACAAGCTAAAAACTGCGGAAGGAAGTGGTCATATGGTCAGTAATGAGTAGGGTTCCGTGTATTCGGAGTTTAGTTTTCGTCAAGTTCGGAGGGTGTTTTTCTGAGTTTATTTTTTGCCGAAAATTCGGAGTTTATCGGAGTTTATTTTTTTTTTATTCCGAATTCTCCGAAATTTGGAGCTCAAATTCGCAGTGTTTCTTAGTAAAAATAAACACATAATATCCAAATGTAAACGTACGCTGGACAAAAAAAAAAAGCGATTGTATCAAATAATATTTCTTCAGTTGGATTTAGCGTTGGTGCCATTACTACTGGCAGTACTGATTTGTCCTAGAACAAAAGTGGTACACAAGTGTTATTTCGATAAGCGTCAATACGTTAAAATCATATCCGTAATAACCCTGAGACGAAGGAAAAAAACGGACAGTACAACGAAGTCTCGCCCAGGGTGTAAGATAGACAGGTGGGGAAACGGCCCATAGAACCCTAACGCAGCGCCGTGACCGGATTGTGTACTCGTCTGCTTGCGGGTACCCCCGATTTGCGACAGATGGCGCTGCGTCGAGAGGAAAAAAATTGGAATCGAATTTGCATGGAACTTTATGGGAGAGTGCGCAAAATAAACCGAGAGCACGAGATTCCTTCATTGAAAATCCACGATAAGTCATCTCCGTCAGTTTAGCCGGTCGCCACCGGTCGCCCACCCGGAGTGAGAGTTCGCGGTGCTCCACATAGATGGCGCCACAGAAAAAGAGAAACCCGAGGGGAACACAATCCGGTCACTCATTTGGCTCTCGTTTCCCCACCTGTCTATCTTACGCCCTGGTCTCGCCTGTGTTTTTTACCTTTCTACCTTAAAATCAATAACCTACTGGAGGTAGTCGCTGGGAAGCCTGTATTTATTCCATGCTATTCCATCAACCTATGGCGCGGCCGCAAGAGATAGAGAGGAAAGGATGAAATAGAGAAGCTTCAACTGTCCTCTTTTTCACTTTATGTAATTTCTATGGTCCATAGCTTTCGCGGTTACAAAAACACAACCTCTCCTTCCCCTCAGGCACAAATAGTATGACCCAAACCGGAAACATAAACAGTACTTTTGTCTTGACCCGATAGTACATTGACTTGTTGTCCTGACCGAAATTCGAAATATATGTGTGGTGACATTTTCCCAGGACATTTAGTCTACGCGCTGATTAAACCATTAATTGTAAAATATATATATGTGTGTGTGTGTGTGTGGGCGGGGGGGGGGGGGGGGGGGGGAGGATTGGCACATCGAAATTCAGAGTTTATCAGAGGGATGGCCAAGCTGCGGCTCCCTAGCCGCATGCGGCTCTTCGTGCGTTAAAGTGCGGCCCCACACACACCACACGTCTCCCTCCCCTAGCAACTTCCCCCCCCCCCCCCCCCCACACACCACACGTCTCCCTCCCGGTCACGTGAGCACTCCCCCAAAAAAAGAAATGGAACGCGTTTTAGAGTGAGAGAGGTTGCGGTTTGGTTGTCGTATGCTACTGCTACTTTACGTACAGTTGGACTGCTCTTGACTCGGATAGATTGCAAGTAGTCCGAGTTTCGTTTATTCCTCTAGACAAAGGTTTGCCCCCCCTCCCCCCCCTCCCCCCTCGCGGCTCTTGGAAGTTTCGGGGGTTTGTTTGCGGCTCCTAGGCCGGGTCAGCTTGGCCAGCCCTGGTTTATCAGATAAATCCGAATAGAAACTTTTACAGGCGGGTGTTCTTCGAATTTATCCGAAAACTCGAAAACGTAGTTATGAGTCACATTCCCCCCCCCCCCCCCCGGCCACACACACACACACACCACCCCAAACGCCCTGGAAAATTCTGAACTTTTTCAGTTAAGACCGAATGTGGGAAAATGAATTCGGCGTACTTTTACCTGTTATATTCGGTTTAACCCGAAAACCCTGAACCCTAAATATAGCGTTTGAAGTTCAAAAAAAATGCACGTGCGATCCCGTCGCCGCCAGCGTACCTTTTTTTTTTTTTTTATTGTTTCTCCACTAGCTGTTAAATAATGGCATGCAATGTCCAACCCTTTTCCTTTACGTTGTGTTTTGTTTTCATAAAACGCTACCTATTACAGCCTTTTTACATGCGTGCTGTTTTGTCGTTGTGCTGTTTTGACGCCGTGCTGTTTTGGCACGTGCTCTTCTCTCGCTGTGCCGTTTTGACGCCGTGCTGTTTTGTCGCGTGCTATTTTGACGCGTGCTGTTTTGTCGCCGTGCTGTTTTGACGCAGTGCTGTTTTGACGCGTGCTGTTTTGACCGTGCTGTTTTGTCGCGTGCTGTTTTGTCGTGTGCTGTTCTGTCGCGTTCCCTCTGAAACCACTGCGCTTTGCACATTGGTAGCGCCCTTTCTCGGAAGATAATCAAAATATGTTTTTGTTTCTTTCTAAAGAAGCATTCTTGTTCCCTGAGAGTATATTGAACATGCACTTTCGACATAATCTGATGAACGCTTCACAGTTCCAGAAACCGGAAGCGTTTGCGAACATGTGCCTAAAAGCTTTAAAGAGGTGGAAATATGGTAAGGGTCCAGGCGAGCTGGTGAATAATAACCATATTTAATTAACCTAAGACTGGTTTAGAGAAGAAATATCAAAATGTAGAAGAGACAGAAAATAGACAGGAAGACGTCTCGAATTGAGACGTCGTCCTGTTTTCGTTAGTTTTCATCTCTATCTTCGGAGAGTGCAGTGATCACGCCTGAGTCTCAGAGTTCCTCGATTTGGCCCACGACGGTACCTTTGGTAAAGTGTTGCGGCTCTTGTAGGAAGTTTGTAAAGAGCACTGTGGGGTACGTCTGTCCTTAAACGTTGTTCCACCTCTTGCCACTCCAATTCCCCTTTCAAGAAGCAACTGGACGCCGCCCTCAAACAGAACTTGTAAGCAGGAAGCTTTATCGGACTCGACGGGTATCAGAAAACTCGACCGCGAGGGCAAATTTAAATGACTGGCGAGAACTCGAACAATGGCTGCCTTTACCGTAGAAACTTCCGGCGTTAAGACAGGTTGTAGGAGTGTCAACCTGTTCTCTCCTAGGACGATGACAGCACCGTACTCGCACCCCGCGCAGGCCTGAAGGACGACGACCTTCACCGGAAAGGTTTCGCCGAGATTCTTGACGTGGGCGGTGAAACCTCCAACGGCTGTAATAAGGTACCCCCCAGCGGTGCCTATCTTCGGACAATCTCGTTATAGTGACTTTCTGGAGTCCTCGAGAGAGTCTCCCACTCGTTCCGGTGTCCACGAGTGCCGACGCCTTGTAGCCTTTGATGACAACGTTGAGGTTGTTTGGCACAGTTGCGGAAACGTTGCTCCGGCGTTCTTGGAGCTTTTTACGTCGTCGTCACACGGCAACTCCACCTCGAGAATTTGCCGCCCTTAGCTTTCCCAACGAGACAGGGGAGACAAGCTGTCCCGACGAGAGTGGTGAAAGGGCGAAAGCGCACGTCGAGGCAATGGCAGCACCAGCGACAGAGGTCGTCGGAGGTACTCCCCAATGTCCTTTGGTCGCTCCCCAAGGCGGCGTCACGGGTCGCTCGGC